GGGAGCCGAGGTGGAACTGCGTCCGTGGAGGGGCCTCCGCGGAGCCCTCCGGACACGCTGTGCTTTGAACGGACAGCGTTAACGGGGTGACACGTGCCTGGTGTTGAAAACGGGAAGTTATTAGGAGGGAATGGAGGGGATTGACCCCGTCTCTGGGGAGAAAATGGGGAGCGAAACACCGCCCCGTCCGTGTCCTTGCAGGTGGCCGTGGCCGGGGCCGTGGGTACCGCGGCCGCGGCGGCAGGGGCGGCATGAGAGGCGGCCGCGGGCTGGGCCGAGGGAACCGGGGCAGGGGCAGGGGCGAGCACCCGGAGGAAGAGGAGGACATGTACGAGGAAGAGCTGGAGGTGAGCTGCCGCAGGAGGTGGCGGGGAGGCCCGCGCTCCGGGCGCCCCGTGACACCCGCTCCCCGCGCAGCCCTACGGCGACCCCGAGGAGCCCCTGGGCGACGACGACTACGACGACTACTCGAAGGAGCTCAGCCAGTACCGGCGCAGCAAGGAGAGCCGAGGCCGAGGTGAGCGGCGCGCCGCGCCTCCGCCCGCGCGCATCCGTCCGCAAATCCCGAGTGTCGGCGCCTCTTCCAGGCATGAACCGAGGGCGCGGGCGAGGGCCCCGAGGACGAGGCAACAAAATGGGCAGGGGCCGAGGACGAGGCGGCAACAGAAGCGGGATGGGGAAAGGCGGCGGCATGAACGAGGACGACGATTACTACGAAGAGGACATGGGCGTAAGCGGCTCCCGCTGTTCTCCGGGAGCCCCTTTCCCCTCATTTCCCTCCTTCCCTTCGCTTCCACGGGGAGGAACGGCCCCCGTCCTGCCCAGGACACCCCAGCCTTGTCCCGGCTGCGCGGGAGGCCCCTTTGGGCTCGTGCATGGCGCCTCCACCTGTGTTTCGCCCTCCGTGTCAGCGGACGCGTTTCCCACAGGATGGAGGCGGCGGCGGAAGTTACAGGCGGAACGACCACGACAAATCCCACCAGCAGTCCGACAAGAAGGGGAAGGTGATCTGCAAGTACTTCGTGGAAGGCAGGTGTACCTGGGTAAGGGAAACACTGGAATTACCGCCCGCTTCCCCGGTACACCGGTACGTGAACGGGCGCGGAGCCGGCCGCGTCCCRAGGGGCAGCGCTTGGGTGCGAGGGGGGCTGCAGGGGCACCCACACCCATTTTGGAGCCCCRGAGGCGGTCGCTTCCTCCCCGTTTCCATTGAGGGGACAGTCGCGGCGTGAAGCGATCCCGATTCCACAACCTGGGGGAGCATCCCTGTCCACAGGGAGCATGAAGCGCCCTGGGAGCTGCGCCGTGCTTCGCCGGGCGGACGCAGTTTCTGTTTGACGCTGTGCTGGTTCTGTTTGACGCTGTGCTGGTTCTGTTT